GTTGGACACATAGATCATGGTCCAGTTGGACACATAGGTAATAGTCCAGTTGGACACATAGATCATTGTGCAGTTGGTTGCATAGAGCATGGTCTAGTTGGACACATAGAGCATGGTCCAGTTGGGCATGTAGATCATGGTTCAGTTGGACACATATATCATTGTCCAGTAGGACACAGAGCATGGTCCGGTTGGACACAAAGAGCATGGTCCAGTTGGACATGTAGATCACGGTCCATTTGTGCACAGATCATTGTCCAGTTGGACTCAGAGAGCATGGTCCAGTTGGACACATAAGCATGGTCCAGTTGGACACAAAGAGCATGGTCCAGTTGAACATGTAGATCATTATCCAGTTGGACACATAGATATAGGTAAAGGTGAGCAGGTGGAATCATGGTGGTCTTTGGATCTATCAGTACCTACTAATCTGAGCTGCATGCTGCATGCAGCAACAAACAAAAGGACACATTTGTTTTTTTAGTTTTGAGCGAGTATTGACTTCAAAAAGCTAAATTAATGCCACTGAACGTAGATTACATTTTATGCTCCAGTGTTTGCTCAGTGAACAGCTCCAGTTGGAACATTTAGACCAGTTCTCTTAGTTTTTCTGTGTTCAATGTTATAAATGAAATCTCTGGCTGATGCATTCGTTACGTGTCTGAACAGCTTTGCTTCCTGAGTTTTGGAGTCCTGATCTGTGACTTTCGTGCATTCTACAGCTAAAACCCGACCAAATCAAAGCTGTAACGAATAAATAAAATACGAGCTAAACTCTTTACATTCTATTTCTGAAACTACATCACACTTTATGACATTATCTAAGGTTTTGTGTGATAACAGTTGCTACATCTACTTCTGTAGAGCGGAACATGAAGGAGAATGCCTCCTAAACCTGATGTCTTTGGGCATTTATGTTTTCAGACTTTAAATTCTAAGATGAACATATATCTTAGAGCTGCAAGTTTTTGTTTCAGAGGAAAGGATTTAAGGAATAAATACTTCAAAGTACTTCTCTGCCTCCATCACAGATCTGTGATCATAGAGTGGTTCAGGTCTCCAGCAGCCTAATACTTGTGCTGCCTTCAAACAGAGCTGCAGTCTGTCTTTGTATTCACCAGAACAATCTTGGACACAACATCTGATAAATGATGCCACTCCCCCTCACACATTTCTAGAGTCCATTAAACAGATTTATTCTTTAAAATGATGAAAGAGAAAAGAATCTCTTAACAGCCTCCTCGTTTCTCCTTTTATAAATCCTTGCTTGAATATATTGTCGTATGAATCCAGTATTTTCAGAAAGACGTTACCTCCAGCTACATTTCTGTGATGGAGATAGTTTCAATCCACCAGCAGAAGCTGCACACAGACCCTAACCCACAGACCAGTTTGTTGGAGGGCGCTTTTCTGGACAGTAGGGGTTATTTTATAAAACTAAAAATATCTAATGATTTTTAACATTTATTGATATTTTTACACTCTAAGACAAAATAAAAGATGAGATTATTGTAAAGAAGGAAAAATTAATATAGTTTTTGCCCAGTTTTAAAAACTAAAACAATAAACTATGCATTCTTGTGGGATTTTTTTAATTGTAGAAAAATTACATATCCTACTTTGAAGAAATAAAGCATAAAGTGAAAGTATGTTTTAACCCTTGTAATGTTTCTAGTATTCATATATTTGCAAAATAAATTAATGGAAAACTAAAACTATCCCTTTTAGTCATTATAACAACCAATAAAATTCAGTTTTATTTCAGTTTTGGTCAAAGCTGGAAAGAGCCGCTGCAGAGGGACCAAAGAGCCACATGTGGCTCCAGATCCGCAGGTTGCAGACCCCTGTTCTTTACTATCTAAAAGTAGTAGAGTGCTGTATGAATGGGTAAATGAGGGCACATGTTGTATTGTAAAGTGCTTTGAGTACCTTGATTAGATAGAAAGGTGCTGTATAAGTACAGTCCATTTACCATTTACCATCTTAAGATGCAGCATTTGTCCCTCAGGTATCAGGATGTCTAAGGTCAGCGCCGAGGAGATGGAGGAGATCAGGCAGGGCTTCCTGAAAGTTGGTGAGTTAACATGTGAGTGTGTGTGTGTGTGTGTGGGGGGGGGGGATCTGACAGACCAGGTTTTGTTATTTATATTATATAGAAGTTTGATCTGCTCATGTTTTTGTCATCATTGACAAACTAACTCAGCATTTTAAAAGTTTTGTGTCTTTTTGGACAGCACAACATTCTGCTCAAGTTCTTTTTGTTTTTAAACAGTAAACTGAGTATTATTTATTTAATCTGATTCTTTTATAGATTTATTATGATCGTGTACACCAACATATTTATTTATTGACTAGAACAGCCTTTCCTAAAGTTCAGGTTGTGACTTCATGTGGATAATGAAACAACTTGAGAAGATCTGCAGGACTCAAACTCATTAAAATTATTGTCAAAAACATAAAATATAAATCAGACATAGATTTTTGTTAAAAGGCTTTTTAGCAGTGTTTGAATACTTACCTCACTTATACCTGTGATAGTCAAAATCTGTTTTAGTGGGTTGGTGAAGGACCACTGGTCTAAAATCTAATTTTAGCCTTTGTGTCCCAGCTGAGAACATTAATCAGAACTGCTCTTCTTATAAACCCTCTGACATTCAAAAGTTTTGATCAGAACGTCTAAAATGGCACGTCGATCATGTCAAGCAGAAACTAAAGAACATTGAAGCATTAAACTTGTTTTTATTTGCCCACTTCCCTCTCCTGTTTGGTCCAGATGTGGATGGTAATGGTTTCATCTGTGCCACTGAACTGGGGAATCTCTTCCGGGAGGTGGGCTGTCCATTGCCTGGATACCAGATCCGGGAGCTCCTCCAGAAACTGGACCGGGACAAAGACAGCCGTATCAACTTTGACGAGTTCACGGCTGTAGGTAACGCTAACTAACTAACTAACTAACTAACTAACTAACTAACTAACTAACTA